TTTTAGCGATAACACTTAAAGCCACTACGTTATAATGAGTAAAAAGCACACCACAGATGTAGCGTCCATGAGAGCAATCAGTCCGATGTGTCAAGGACCGCACCTTCCTCCAAAAAAAAAAAAAAAAAAAAAAAACAAAAAGCACACCTACACAAGGCTTGAACGTAGGCACACGTGTGCGATGGAACATAAAAGGAAGGGAAGAGCGCGGAAAGACGAGTGGACGCCAAAAATGAGCCATGTGTAAAGGAGATGAGAAAAATGGTTCGCATGATAAGACAGGGTTGGTTTGGACAAGCCCTCCGTTGCTCATCTTCCCTTTGCTTCTTTTGAGTAGTTTTTTTTTTTTTTTTTTTTTTTCAGTTCCCCCCTGAATCAGTTTTGCACCTTTCAAGGTTGTGGTTCCACACATGCACATGTGCGTGCGAAACTGATGCTTGGGGAAAGTCACCTAACCCTCCGTCGAAGCAGCACGAGAACCAACTGATGTCAACGCATTGCAGAAAAAAAAAAAAAAAAAAAAAGTGGAAGGGAAAGTAGAAAACAAAAGAGCCATGATATAAAAGAAAAAAAAGGAATTCATACAAAACGCAGGAGTAACTATGCTGTATTACGTTAGCCCGAACGGGGAAAGCCATCACTTGAGCGAAAAAAAAAAAAAAAAAAAAAAAAAGTAGAGACTTGTTCATGTGACATTCCTCGAGAGTGTCTCTCTTGCGTCGTTTCAATAAAAAAAACGTAAAAAGTCCTAATTTTGAATGAAGTGTAAAGGTAAGGAGTGATAAGAAGGGAACTCCTCTGAGCCTCTTCCATTTTCATCTGAGCACTTGGACAAGGAAGAAGCGAGTTAGACCGCCGTGTCGCCATCGAGAAGGTAAAAAGAGGAGCGAACTGGATATGAGCGTCGCGCTGAGTCGTATTCCATATTGCGTGGTGTTGTGTTGTGGTGGATGACGCCACGAAGTGTGGGACAAGAGCACACAGCAATGCAGGCCTACACGTTACACTGAGTGGCTGCCCCCTTTTTTTTTTTCTTTCGTGCGTGTCTTTCGTCAATCTGTTTCCTCCCCCGTTGTGTAGTGCATCGGACAGAGTGAACTGCCGCATGGGAATATACACACATGTGAATGGGTATATGTGAGTTAATTAGTTGCGCCCCCTCCCCCCTTCCATCAGTGATTACTTGCCCACCTGGCAGCCACCCAGGGCAGTCAAACCATACAAGGTAAAGCACAACACGAAACTGGGCCACAGAATGGACTACTTGGGGAGGGCAAAGCAAATTTTTACATGTGAACAAAGTTTACATGCAGGAAGGGGGTGGTCATACACATGCGGTTGTAATAGGTGTAAGTGTTTTTTTAAGTGGCCGCGCATATGGTTGGGTCCCCCCACTACCTGTCCCCAGTCTGCATCTTTTATTTTGTTTCGTTTTACGCGCACGCAACTTCCACCTGGAGTCTGTCCAAAATGGGTGGGACCCGCGGAGGGCAAATATTCCATCAGCCAGTGTGGCAATCATGCTAACAGCCATTGCGGCAGCTGTACCGCGCGATATACAAAAAACAGGCAGTTCGTATGTACACGCGTGCGCTGAATGGTGTGGTTGTTAGGACTTGTCCGTTTGGGGAAATTTTTCGTTGCGCCACTGCCAAGGGGGAAAGGCACCTGCGCAAGCGTATTGGTGCGTACTGGGGGAAGAGCAGGGGCAAACGGAGACCCGGTGGCGGACGCTCCGTTGTACATTTTTTTGCCAACGTTAAGTGAAAGAATTGGAAGGCGCTCCTTAATGTGTATTTTTTTTTTTTTTTTTTTTTTTTTTTTTTTGTTGCGTAGTTGCATCCGTTTGATTTGTTCTGAGCTCCGCTGCGTTTTTTTTTTTTTTCTTTTGTTTGGTTGCGCTGCGCTGTGTTTTGTTTTTCTTTGTTCTATTTTATTTCATTTTGCTTTGTTTTGTCACACCTCGCCGTGTTACAGCTAGCTGTATTTTTTTTTTTTTTTTTTTTTTTTTAACGCTGTCCGCTAGCTGACGTTTGGCTGACTCGGCTGCACCATTTTCAGCCCCGAACGTTGATCACATCGACGCTGCGTTTGCTTGTCCCTCCACCGTTTCTTCTCCACCACCCGATTAACAATGATTCAGTTTTTGAAAAATCTGCAGCTGCACAAGAAGAAGGACAGTGGAAGCACTAAAGAGTCGAAGAGGGAAAATAAAATGAAATATGAGGACTTCAATTTCATTCGAACTCTTGGCACAGGTGTGGATTCCTCAGGCGTAGGGGCAAGGTGGCCAATTGAGCGATCTGTTCAAGTGAGCAATTTTGCATAGTCTGATCCGAACACCCCCCCCCCCCCCTTGCGCAGGTTCCTTCGGAAGAGTGATTCTCGCGAGGTACAAGAATGAGGACTTCCCCCCAGTGGCTATCAAGCGATTTGAGAAAAGCAAAATCATCAAGCAGAAACAAGTAGACCATGTCTTCTCCGAGAGGAAAATCCTCAACTACATCAACCACCCGTTCTGTGTAAGGAGGAGCGGAGGGAGAAGCGTGAACGGAGAGAGCGGTGCGAACGGGGGTTATTTCAACGTAGCTGCTTCAGCTGTGCTACTCCAACTGCACTACTTCAACTTCGCTACTCCAACTGCACTACTCCATATGTGCTGCACGTCCCCCCTGCAGGTCAATTTGTATGGGTCATTCAAGGACGAGTCCTACCTGTACCTTGTGTTGGAGTTTGTAATTGGGGGCGAGTTTTTTACTTTCCTCAGAAGAAACAAGCGCTTCCCTAATGACGTGGGGTGCTTTTACGCGGCGCAGATCGTGTTGATATTTGAGTACCTCCAAAGTTTAAATATAGTTTACAGGTGGGTGCGCTAGGGGTGGAAGTTTTAATTTGCACTCGTTTGTGGTTTTCGATGCACTCGGGGATACCCCCCCCCCTACCCACACACAGACGAGAAGCCACCCCCACGTGTGTCCATCCACCTGTCTTATCATGATCGCTTCTCCCCCCTCCCCCTCACTTGAGCAGAGACTTGAAGCCAGAAAACTTACTGCTCGACAAGGATGGGTTCATAAAAATGACTGACTTTGGATTCGCAAAAGTTGTGGACACGCGCACGTATACCCTGTGCGGGACCCCTGAGTACATTGCGCCGGAGATCCTCCTCAACATCGGGCACGGCAAAGCGGTTAGTGCACAGTGGGGCATCCTCCCCCACACCCCCTAATACACACGCGATGTAGCTTCTGCTGCGCAACCCACGTTGACACACCTGGCGCATACATTTGGTTAAACCAAAAACTTCTCGTTACCTCTCCCCCCCTTGTGCAGGCAGACTGGTGGACCCTAGGAATCTTCATTTATGAAATCCTGGTGGGGTGTCCCCCTTTCTACGCAAATGAGCCCTTGTTGATTTACCAGAAAATTCTGGAGGGCATAATATACTTCCCTAAATTCTTAGACACGAATTGCAAGCATCTCATGAAGAAACTTTTGTCCCATGACTTAACCAAGCGATACGGAAACCTCAAGAAGGGTGCTCAGAATGTGAAGGAGCACCCGTGGTTTGGTAACATCGACTGGGTTAGCTTGCTGCACAAAAATGTAGACGTGCCTTACAAGCCAAAGTACAAGAATGTTTTCGACTCCTCCAACTTTGAGAGGGTTCAGGAGGACTTAACCATTGCGGATAAAATTACAAACGAGAACGACCCCTTCTTTGACTGGTAGGGGGTGGCTTTCGTTCCGTTTTGCTTTGGTTCCATTTTGCTTTCGTTCGGTTTTTCCCCGTTGCGCTCTCGTTCTAGTTCACATTTTTTTTTTTTTTTTTTTTTTTTTTTTTTTTTTTTTCCGTTGTTTTTGTCTTTATGCACAATTCGAACGACTTTTTCGTGTCCCCGTCGTAATTGTCCATATCTGTCTCAACTGGAGGAAGCGATTGAAGGGGGACCAAGTGGCCGTTCGTGTGACGTGGCGAGTCGCTTTCTGGGGAAAGGTAACCTCTCGCGTGGCGTGGAGAATTGATCAGGAGGTGTGTGATAACCCCTTTCCTGAGTAACGATGCGGCGACGTGTGGGCAGATGGCACGCTACTCCAAACCAAGTTTTCCCCCCCACTGTATGCAACATTCTCCCCCTTGTAGACTCCCCCCATTCTATGCTTCAACACCATGGAAGGAAAAACAAACTGATATACAGTTGCGATTGGTTTAGGACATGATAAAAAAAAAGAAGTTACCACTGGGGTCTTCGTAGAGGGCCACACCACCCCCAAGGGGGTTATGTATATGCAGCAAAGGGGGGGTTACCAATATGACTGCCCACCTGGGTGACTCTCCCACTGCAGGAGGGGAAAACTTCACCTGAGTGTCACATTTTTATAATTTAAAAGGTAAATTAAATCGGGTGCAATTTTGTTCACAGTTATGTATTCCGTGTGTTTCATCTCCCCCTTGTCCTCTCTCGTAGGAAGAGGCTGGAGGGAAGGAAATAAATTTTTTTTTTTCTTTTTCCTCTTCGCCTCCTTGTCCACTTTGGTGGCCCTTCGTATATCATTCCCGCATGGAAAATCCATTCCCTTTTTGTAACTATATAGTAGATCAGAGCAGTTGACATTCTTCAAACTTTTATTTTGTACAGTGTTGTTCGCGTCATATGGTTCGGGCCATGTGTACAGTTTTATGTGTACCTTAACAAGTTTGAAAAAATATTTGTACATGTAGTAGTGGTGTCCGAAGATGCTTGAGGGGGAAGGTCCTAGGTAGGTGGTGAGATTTTCCTTGGCGGGTACCTTGGGCAAGAATTGGCATTTCCGGTCCATCGTTTCAATCAGGTCGTCTGAGGGTGTGCAGGGGCAGAGGTGTGGATTAGCATTATTATATATATAGCGTGGGTTAGAAAACAGGGGGGGGGGGTGTCTCTCGTCATCACTGCACCGCATCGACGGGACGGATGCAGAGGAGAATTACCATCGTTGTTGAAGAAGAAGACATGGGGACACAATTCTTTATATCTGTCTCTGTCGCAGATCTTCTCCTTTAAAAAAAAGGCTTCCTTCATTCTGTTATAAAGCACAAGTTCCACGAGATCGAGTATCCGATCTGCATTTTTTTCAAAGCAGCTGGTTTTACTCTCTTGTCTTTTTATCGTATGGGAGATGTACTGAAGGTACTTGTCCTTGTTGTGTTTGTCTAGTGTATCCTCTGATGGGAGTACCTGTTCTAGGTGTTCCTCCTCACGGTGCAAGACCATGTGTGCACTCTCTCCTCTACAATACGCATGGATGGAAGGTGAGAAATTTTCAAAATTGCTCAAATTTTTCAACGGATGGTCTGCGAACAATGTGATGTCCCTTTTGTTGAGCTGCCCTGTGATAGTACCCCGTGGCACTTCTTTTTTGTTTTTCCTTTTAAGGCACACACTGTTATGCTTTTTCTTGTGGACACGCGGGTCGTAATTTGTGTATCTTTTATTCATTTTAAATGTTTTGCACCTTTCCAAGGTTCTCCTCCTTTTTTGAATGGTACATTTTGTATGTTCTCTGGTGAAGCTTGTGCCATGTACCCTCTGGTGGGTTGAATAGAGCCACATGCTGCTGTATCGACTTGTGTAATGGAGGAGTGAAGAAGTCTCCTCCTCCCTCAGAGGCCGTCGGTAGGTTTTTTCTTGGTTGGACTCGACCGATGGCCGCGCGTACTCATCGCCGCGTTGTAGTAATTCCTCCCCATCTCTGCACGTGGAAGCACTTGCCCCGGCTCTCCACTTCGAATGTGTTGAAGAGCCCCTGTCTCTGCTCTCATTATCAATCGCGTCAGTCCCGTCAAAGTAGTTTCTGCCACCTAGTATGTTATTGTATATGTTGCTCATTTTTCCATGAGAGTTGAAGAAAATTTCATTCTCCATCTTAAAATCTTCATAAGTATATGTGAGGGTTCTTCGCTTGGCCTCACTGTGTGCGCTCGTGGCGCAGAAGGGGGGACGTAGGGGTTCGTCCCGCATGCTGAGGTGGAGCCCTTCGCACAGGTTGTTTAAGAGGAATATTCCGTTTTTGCCCAGCTGAACTTGCACTCCAGACAGCATGTGAATGGCAAAGAAATGAAAAAAAAATATATATAAATTACTACCTGTTCGTGGGTCACTACGTAAAGAAAATGTGTGAATGGAGGAACCTATACACATGTGGCCCTTCCCCGGCGCACCCATCACACGTTAAGAATGCTTCTGTGCGGATGCAGTTTTGCGTTTGTCCAAGCCTGGTTCAGAAGCGACTCACATTTGTATCGAGGGAGTTTTGTCAGGAGCAAGTTTACAAAGGGGACAAACTTGGAGTGATTACATTTGGGGAGGGAGATGTAGATTCATGCTCCCCCTTGGGGATGTGCTGCACGTCTGTCTGGAAGATGAAGAAAATTTTTTTTTGGTGTGGACAGATGCTTCGTTGCGTGGGCTTCTCAAATGAACCCAGGGGAATCAACACGTGGCAGATTTTTGCGTCTTTAAAAAAATTGAAGTACCGTTAAGGTACGATGCTGTTTAGCGTATGGTTTGTGAAAAAGGTTCGCAGCTGGGTTGCGTTGCGCGCGCCAGTTGGATTAAAAAAAAAAAAAAAAAAAGCAAAAAAGGAATAAATAAATAAATTGTTTGTGGTGGTGCAGTTTTTATTACGTATAGGTGTACACAAAACATGTGTGGGTAGTTGTGTGCACGTGTTTTTGCCGGAGCGCTTCCGCATGCGCATGCGAGGGGGGGAAAATCGATGGGTGCCCATTTCGTGCCTTGGTGAATTCAGCTGGACCAGGAAATTTTTATCGAGTGCTGGGGGGTGACCTTGAAGCTCTGCAAGCCGTTCATGGCAACCTCCCCATTCTGGTACGAGCTGAAGTCCACAAAGGCCACGTTCCTACCAGGGATGTGTCTGACCTCACAAAACCCAGGGTACTGATTGAAGAGAATCTCCAGAGCATTCTTATTGATTTCATTTGGAAGGTTTTGAACAAAAAGGGTGAAGACGTTGGCTCTACTTTCGTATCCTGTTGAGGATTTGAAATTCGTAATTGGTTTGTACGTGCCTTCAAGTTTTTCTACAATCCTGGACTTGGTCTTCGCATAGCTGATGTTTATTTGCTTGTTCAGGAAAAGCTTCCCTTTTAAGTTTTTGTATGCGAGGGTGGAGGATGCGATGGTGTTGAAAACGACGAAGGCCTGCCCTCTGCAGTGGTTGGCCTTCTTTATAATAACATCTAGTACGTTTCCATAGGGACAGAAGAATTCGAAGAGCAGGTCCCTGAGATCCTTAACATTTATTTTTTCCTCTAGGTTGTTCACGTAGAGTGTTTGGTTGGGTGGTATGTCGAATGGGTCCATGCTTGGAGGGGGTGGGTAAGGGGTGCTCAGCGGTAGCCAATTTATATAGGGGCATCCCAATATGGGGGTATTTACATTAGGCCTCTTTTTTACGCCTCACCTGGTGATTTTGTTCACGCTTCCCTCTCCTCACTTAGCGCAGGAAGAGGTTGACGAAGGCCAGGATGACACAGGCCAAGGAGACGTATAGGGATAGGCGGTCCCCGATGACTGCGAATTTCCCGAGGGTACCCAAGAAGCCGTTCTTCTTATTGTCAAAGACGTTAGGGAACCGCGGCTTCAGGTAGGTACATGTGCAAATGCAGAGGATGATAACGGTGATCATGGACTCGAGGTTAAACAGCGCCGACATTTTGCAACAGCAGAGAGAGAGAGAGAGAGAGGAGGAGGGGCGGTTTGGCGGGTGTTTATAAAATACCGCTGTGTTTGGAGCATTGGAAGCCGCTTTCGTGGAAATTATGCCCGTTGTGAATGATGAGCCGCTTTTATTCTCCCTCTTTTGCAGGTGCCTCTTCTGGAACACTTCAGCTCGGCTTGGTTGCTCATCCCACTGTAACTCGTTATATATATTCGTGTCGAGTGTTGCAAAATTTTTCACGAGCAACAGGGGACGCCCATATTAACAGCCATTCATGATACAAAAAAAAAAAAAAAAAAAAAGAGAGTTGCAAAGGTTTATCCCTTATGCAAAAAAGGTGACCAACAGGAGTGTGGAATCCCTCTTCGCATGTAGCAAAAAAAAAATAAAATAAAATGACATAATGCAATAAAAGCACGTAAAAAAAAAAAAAAAATAGCAACACCCCAAGTGCGCACAGCAGCGGTGGGGAAGTGTCGAATGGGAAATTGAAAAATATATTAGCGCTTATTTGTGTCAAATGGGATGAGGAAAAAAAAATAAAATAAAATAAGTAGCAGCAAGGTGGAGACTATTTTGTCCCTTTTCGGGTCGGTAGTCGTTCCAAGTCGACTTGCACTGGCTGGACTGCGGAGACCATCACCTGTGTGTTGAGCGCGGCACGCACATATCTTTGCACAATAACGTTTGCATACATATGTGCGCGCTTTCTTCACTGGCTTTTCCCTCCCGTTGGGGAGCCGCCAAACCGGGTAAGCGAATCTGCAAAATTGGCATTTACAAAAAATAGGGTTCACCGGGGGAAAAAAAGTTCGCGCTGCAGCGAAGCAGCGGGGAGTACTCAAAAAAAAAAAAAAAAAAAAAAAAAAAAAAAA